ACAAGCAACCATGGAGGGTTGATCAAGGACTGAACTGGCACTGCAATCGGCAAGAATCGAACTTTGCGCTCCAGGCTGACACTGACCTTTGTGCGTTCTGCTGAACACTCCAAAAATCCGAAAACCCTGCCCTGCCTGTGCACTACGTCGAGCTTCATGCCACTGATGCGTTGGGCATCGGAGAATCTCAAACGTCCATACACCATGACCAAAAAGAATCCTGCCATGATCCTATCGAAAACAGGCCTTTTGGGGTCATGCACAACCCTCTCCAAGGTCTGCACCTGGTTGACCGTCAAGGGAGGACGTTGTCTCACTTTGGCCCTGTCTGCATAATGCAACCTAACGGCTCCTGCAATACGTTTCGACGAACACACTTCCTTGCCCCCCATCAAGCCGAGAATGTGCGTTGCGAAACTTACTGACAACATGAACGACCTAGGAAAGCTCGGTGCCTCATTCACACACGCCTTCACAAAATCGTACACTTGTGACTCTTGCAAAGGAAAACACTTGGCCTCACGCTCCGACCAAAATTTGACAAACCTTATCAAAGGACCTGCCCGATTATGCAAAGTCGAAGAAGCCTTATCTCCTAATGCGTCTTTGATGGACTCGCTCAAACCTCCTCTGGCAAACTCCATGGGTCCGGACAAATAGTGAACTCTTGCAATCTCGAAAGCCATGGGGTTGACTGCAACTACGGACAACCATTTTCTATTAGCACAACGCCTCTCATAAGACAGCTGTTCAGTCATCGAGCGTTTATGAGCATTTTTTATGGCTTTGAATGCATAGCTTTCTGCAGTTTCTCCAGGCTCCGGGCAAGAGGACTCCGAGTTGAAACTCTGATCAAGAGGCGGAGGCACAGGCGGCATAATGCCAGACATGCTCAACACACTGTTTTGATGTCTCTTCACGAAATCAAACTGATCTTTAAGTTTCAAATCCCATGGCATATTACTTGCAGGTTTTGCCAAAGTCAGCCACGAATGTCTTGCATGCATAGTGAAATGCAATGAGCTGGTTGGCTGATCTGCTGGTCTAGCAAATTTCATTGTGTCTCCTGTGTCCCCGCCCATGTCTATACTTTCACAAAAATATGAAAGAGGGTACTTGTGCCCATGGAAACATGTGAATCAATGGCCCACTGACCGAGGCAGTGTGGAAGCACCCGCAACCAGCACACTGCATCGGGGTGCACACTAATTTCGAGCCACTACCGCATTTTGCATAAAAGAAACCTCATTTAAGTCAAGGGTTGTTTTTTGGGTGTTTCTTTTCACCCCTCGTGGGGTTGTCGGGGTCTTGAGCCGTAGAACCCTTCGCAACGCTATCCGCTTTCCCAACGTCAAAATATTAATTTTAAAGATTATGTTTTGCGTGGCTGGGGGTTTGCAACCGATATGTATATTTAGTATTCCGGCGAAAAACATTCTGGAAAAAGTGAGGTCCACGGTCCACATGCGCCCCTTTCAGCCAGCACGCTTGCTGTGTTTTTCTTCGCGTTCAACGTTGGCCAAATTGTTTAAGAACAAGTGGCCTCTAACTCTACAGCAGAACAGTCTCTTGCATCTAGCGTGTGCCAAAGGCGTATGTTCAAAGGCCTTGGACATCCTGAATTTGTTTCAATTCCATTCAAACACCACAAAATTCACACTCACAAGAGTCAGGAAACGTAAAGTTGCCCTGTCTCAGTTGTAACTCCTGGTGAACTTGCCCCAGGATTTGTTTTGCAAGCCTCAAACCCTCTCTGGCTTGTCTCGCCCGAAGCTTAAACTGGCGCTTGCTTTCCTCATTGCGTTGACAGGCAGCCATTTGCCGCAAGCAATGCGGATTCAACCCCAAACGATCGAACTCAACTTGCATCACAGCAATCAACCTTCCCCTTTTGAAAGATCTTGCATCTTTCTCGTCCGGGGTCATGGCTGACATCGATGACCTTCAGACCTTTGGGGTTTTAGGGTTTAACTAGCTTGATGAGCAAAAAAGCTCTGACGATCAGCTGGTTCATCATGCGTTGTGAGTTCCTCAAAGTTCCAAACAGGATCACGAGTTCATGTTTTCAGGGAAAACGGTTATGTCACTGCTGTGAATCTAAAGCTCTCGCAGAAAAACTTTAAGTTTTTAAAAACATCCCCGAAAATTCTTTGCGATGAATGCGTTCAAAAAATTCAAGAACGACTCTTTCCCCCTGCAGCTTCAGAGCTTCATGTCACGGTCTACTAGCTAGGTTGTTTTCCCAGCCACTTTGAGCCCTGAACACTGGCCACAGTGTCCCCCAGCCATTAATATGGCAAAACGGCAAATAGAGCGTCATGGATCAGTTACTTGTCCATTGTTTCCAAAATTTTCCCCATCCTCTCCACACTCTTGCCAGTGCCTTCCATGCTCTTTGCAACCTCGATGGACTCTTCGTACACCTTCCCTTTGCTCTTGATGAAGAAGGACTTCCGAATCCCATAGATGAAGGGAGAGGGGCAGGCGACTTCAACACTCAGCCAGCCCATTGGGATGTACAAGACCTCCTGCTTTTGCAAGAGACATTGCCTCATCACCACCCCCTTGGCAGCCAAATCCTTCAAACCATCCTGGTCCATTTTTTTGAACTTTGTCAAAACCTCTTCGATGCTGGAAAACTCACCAATGGCATCCTTGAAGGAGGACCACTCAACAAGGATGCGGCGGACCTCCCCAACGGCAAGCAACTTGACCAACGCTGCATGGTTTGGGGTGAATCCAACAGCTTTCATGTCAACATGACACCCGAAGAGCCAAGCAGCAGACGTGAAGGCTTTGCCACCTGGGACACCTGAAATGTCGGGTAGCTCGGTCGCCTTGACGATGTCTGCAAAAACACCATTCACATCACGCAGCCCCGACTTCTCTTCGAATGGGAATGTTACCTGGTCAAGCTTGGTCTGCGCCAGGGTCCTCTTGTACTGCGATCCCCACGTAGCAAGCGCTTTCTGCACCTTGCCCTCCCCCAAAACCATCTTCAGGGAATCACACATGGGGCATTTCCAGGGAAAGTCATGGCGCCACTGAGTTTCTGCCACCTGAGCCAAACTGTCCAGGTGAGACACTCTCTGAGCCACATTGTCTGGAACAGACGCAGTGAAGAGTGCAGGAACTGCCTCTGCGCTTTGCTTTCGTTTCTTGATGGCGTCAGCTGCGGCCTTTGCATCATCCTTGACTTTCTGCAAGGCTTGCTTGTCCTGCTCTTCGGCCTTGCGCTTTTGAGCGCGGTTGTTTTCAGACACTTTGACCTTCATGTGCCTTGTCAAGTCGTCAGCTGACTGTTTGACACCCTTCACAATCTGCCCAAGGGCTTTCTCAGCCAAATTCCACTTGCGCTTCAGCCCCAAAAACGTAGCTGTGTCTTGGGCGTCCAAAATTTGGTCCAGAAACGCCCAGGCATCTCCAAGGCACATGACATGCTCAGTCTCGCCCTCCCAAAACTTCTCCTTGCTTGCGCGGTGCTCTTGAAGAAACTCTTCAAAAGTCACCTGCCTGCGGGCAGTCAAAACATCCGCGTCAGCGCCTGCACCAGTGATCTCGCTGTAATTGATGAGCTCTGAGGTGAGGCCTGAGGGGCGGCGGCACCTCCAGCTGGTTCTCCAGAAGACTTCCTCGTGAGAGAAGCATCTGGCACCAGCTGAAGAATGTCCGTCACCGACCCCAGGCACCGCACCCCTGTCTCATGGCGGAATTGCAACACACGAGCCAGCGAAAGAAGCGCACGGTCACCAGTCTTCAACTGCTCTGGATGAGTTCTGTAGGCGGCTGCAGCAGCATCGGCAACAGATACAGACTTCTTCAAATCATTTGTGAGTTTGCGCACATGGTTGTCACACTGGCGATGCAAGATTGGTTTTTCACGGGTCAAGTTCACGGGCTTGCTCGGAGCATCCTCCTCGGGCTTGTCCACAGAGCCCCTGGCAGGCGTGGCAAGAGGTCTTTTGGATAGATCACCCAGTTGATCACCCGACATGGCGAAGTGGTCGTCCTGGACAGACAAGTCTTGGCGTCGAAGATGGTCCTGCCACTACCCCACACACACAAAGCAAACCATTCCGACCAGACTTTAAGCAATAGCAATGTTATATATTATAAATATTAGCTATTATATAATATATATATTTGTATGATACAGCTTATTATACAGCTATATCTATAATTGTTTGGTAAAACAAACTTGCAAGATAAACCAAACCAAAATTAAAAAAATCAACCACTCCTGGAGCATCTTCCGGTCGGACTGCGAAGGAGCCTTCATGTTGTCTGAACCCTCCTGGAGCCTTCATGTTGTCTGAACCCTCCTGGACCTGGTTATCCACATAGTGTTCACGATCTTTTGTCTTGGACTCTTGCAGTGGGAGCCACAACCTTTCAGCCCCCTGAACCCCTTGTTGTCCCGTTCAATGCCAGGATCCTTCTCATACCCTTGCCATGCTTCCTTGGCCTCGTCATCGGTAAGACCCATCACATTCTCAGCATGCTTGAAAAAAGCTCGCTCAGTCATGGGGACAGTGCCTTCTGAGGCCTTTGAAGAAACCCTTTGTCCATAGCTACGAACAAACTTTGCAAAGTCAACCAAGCCTTTCCTCTTCATTTCCGGTGGGTTGTCACGCGCGAAGTTTCCGACAGCCTTCCCCGCAGCTCCGTCATCCTTCATCTCTGCATCAAAAGCCTCTTTCTCCTCTTTGGAGAGATCTTTGCGCGACTTTCGTTGGTACATCATATTGTCAAATGCCTTCTTGTGGTCAGCTGTCGAGCAAAAACGTGATCCAGGGTACTTTGGGAAAGGGCAGGAAGGGACAATGCAAGATGTGACAGGTTGTTTTTTGCCACCCGCATTGTTGCCCTTGGGTTCTTTTTGGCCTTTATTCTTTGCTTTTGCCTTTCCTTTCGCTTTTGCCTTTGGGGCAACAGCACATGCATCATCCTCCCACACGTCTTCCATCTCTACCTCTTGCTTGCCCCCCTCTCCCAAACCCTGGCCATCCATTGCGGAACGGAAACGGACAAGGCTCAAGCGGCTTAACCCTTAACCCTGAACTCTTTGTTTGGAAACGGCTTTTAATAGTGTCAGTCGCTCTACACAGAGCACAGCAACCACAATCATAACACCCTCGCCAAACAAAACGAACAGTGGTTGAGAGCATCATGAAAAATAGTGACTAACAATTAACAAGTGGAAACAACAACAACAACAACAACAACAACAACAACAACAACAACAACAACAACACACACGCAACTCTGAAGACTCAGGAAAAGATGAGCAAATAGACTCTTAAAACTTAAAGCGCAGCAAACAGCAGAGGTGAAACTTTTCAGCCTGAACAATGATTTGCGAGAAGATCAAATGACCTATCTTCTTCTACTATGAACAAAACTTCTGATATGTCACAAAATGCTTTCTGACATGCTAGCGCGCTTTGGCAAGTTCATCACCGCAAGCTGGTCAGTGACACCCATACCCCAATGAGGCACCGACTCATTCAAGCTAGCCTGTGAGGCTTGCTAACTTGAAAGCCTTTCCCATTGCCATGTATTGAAGCAAACGACAAAGCATCTCAGCAGCAGCGTTGACACACAGTTCATGAAAGCTTTACCCAAGGATGCTGCGGGTTGTCCGCCCAAGGATTCGAAGGGCTTGAGCCAGAGTCCGATTCCGAGTCCGAGAACTCATGGCCGGAAAGATCCTCGCCGGCATTGACATCGGATCGAGACGCACCCGCGCCAGATTGAATGGGTGGCTGAAAGAGTCGGGGTTGAGGCGGGTTCTCCATCCAAGTCTGCGCTTGCTCAAGGGCACTTCGCCAAACCCTTGCAATGTCATGAACACCCTTGAAACGATAACCCCGCTTTGCATGGAAGTGCACCACCTTCATGTAACGCACCTTGAAGTTCAACACAATCTTGACACTTCGGTGAAGAGAAAGCTGATACTGGTGCTTGCCCGCTGGTGGTTTATCCGGCAAGGCAGCCTTGGGCAACTTGTCAAGAAGTACATAATGCTTGGTGTCAAGACATCCGTTGCGCTCAATCTTCTCCGTCGAAACCTTTGGGCTTGCTGGAGCTGCTGGAGTCTTTGCCTTCCGAGACTGCTTCCGCTTCCGTGTGTTCTTGGAGTCCTCCAAGCGAGAGGTTACACCGAATCACACCGTCCAGGTCAACACTATAGGATTCAAAAAGGTCAGGTTTAGTTTAGTTTGACAATTTGATTCTATCTCCTTCTTCACATCAGCAATTGCGGGTGGCATGGAAGCAGAAGAGTCAGGGTTGTGTGAGCTCATCACGAGATGATAACAGGGGAAGACTCCGAAACTAGTCTATGGCTTAGAACCAGGCTGCTTGAATTTCAAAGGTTTCAAACCCTTGCTCATACAAACCAAAAAGACGCAATTGCTTATTGCGCGCACAAACTGTAGTATACTACATACTATACCACACAAACAGAAACAGCAAGACCTGACCTAGCTCGAACTATCAAGAAGCAAAAAACGCCAACATCAAACTCATCAAAATGCCAGCGGTTGATTTTCAACACCCGAGCCATACCCAGAGCTTCTCTCCCCTAAGCGTTTGAAACTCACAACTACATGCCGCTGCCTGCTTGCCAACAGCTAGATTCCTCTTCGTTGAGAGGCCCCACAACCTGAGCAACTTCCCTGCGTACAGTGTTTGAGAAAACATACAACTGCCAAGCCAAGATGGATGGAAGAGATTGGGAATTGCGCGTCACTGACTTCACCACTGTGTCAGGAAGCGCCATGGCGTACTCCGCCAGGGGCCAATGAAACCTTTCACTGACATCCCTGGTCATATGGAAACCCAACGCCAGGAAGCGGTCCATCGAACTGGCAATTTTGAAGGTGTTCAAATCCATGATGAGCCCATGTCGGAGAAGGCAAGGGAAAAATGGACCATGCGATGGCCCTGGGCTGTCTGGCCAATGGTCCAAATCACAAATGAAAGTTCCATCCAAAGCCGCATTTTCTTTCACGACAAGCTGGTATGCTTCCAAGCGCTGAAGCTGTCCAGGGGACAACACCTTTCTCCACAACTGGTTTCCTGATGGCATCGGTCCAAAGAAATGTTTCTGCTTCAACCTTTTTTCACACCAAGACTTTGTTGCGTCAAGGTCTGATTGAAAGAAGACGCTGCCATTCAACATACAAAAGCGCTCAAAAAACTTAGTAAACTCTTCATCTATCGCTTGAGCGGTCTCAGGCCCAACCCACACCAAAGTCTCCAGGTTCAATCCTGCCGCAAGTTGGCGGTCACGGGAAGTAGGCCAACCCAGACTAGTCGGTCCAGTGATGACTTGAACAATGTGGTGTGTCCCTTGCAAAGGATCTTTCACAAACCGCTGAACGTCAAACAAAGGTGTGCACTCTTGGAAAAACATGTCCTCCTGCCTTGCCCTAGCTAATTGCCTGCGCTGGCTGACCCAGGCAGCCAGTGCGTGTTGGCTGCCGTGGGCAGCCCGCGCTCTTTTTCCTTCACTGCTCCACCCCTGACAGCAATTCCCTGCGCTGTTCAACACCAATGCTGCAGAAGTCATCCCCTGAACCTGACCCTTGTCAAGATCAGCCCTCGGTTTGTTTACCACGCAGAACTTCCCATGCGCCAAGCACCAACAGGTATGGTCCTGCAGGATTTCAGATGATGACACGCACACACATCGTCCACACCGACCATCAACAACACATAACTGAATTATGAGCTAGCTCGAACAGGCAGAAGCAATACTCCTTAATACCCCCACAAGCTTCCCCACCCCTGCCCCAGCCTGCGTCACACACCAACTTGAATTCTCCAGGAGGTAGCGCCAAATCCTTGTCAAACTGGCCTCACACTCTTCCTGGGAAGCCTCTGGTTTGGGAGCATTCTCGAAACAAAAGGCTTGGGCAGTTGGGTGTAGCTGTTCCCTGATGTCACTGAAAACACACGAAGAGCCTGAATCTACCTGTGTGGAAGCCTGAATCAAAAAGTTTTGGCATTGCTTGTCAATGTCACACGCTCTGGTGTAAATGTGGGGAATAGCAATTCCAAGATCCTCGGACAACGCTTGAAAAAGCAACCTTTTTGCCTCCCTCTCAGCCCCAATGCCACTGTAATCACTACTTTCAGCGACACCCAATGAAAGAAGCTCAACGCAGCGACGTTTGCAATCATGGTTGGTGAAGATTGCCCGCAAGAGTTCAGAAGGATAATTGAAAAGTTCTTTCACTGAGGCGGGCCCCGGTGGCAAACTCTGACTGGCAAGTTGTTGAGCAATGGAGCCACGTCTAAAACGCTTTCTGCCTTGTTGAGCAGGCTGATTTTCCTGTTCACATCCCCATTGCAGGTTCTCAGCGTTCATTGATGGGATGAAAGCACTGACGCAAAGCCGTTTGATTGAACCCACGCTGCTGGGAGCTAACCAAGATCAATAGTTTTGAATGTGAAAGTACCGGCCAGGGTCTTAAAGGGATACAGATTGAAAATAGCAAGGGCATGGAGTCCTATGCCAACGCTGCACTGTTCTTAATTGTTACACGTGCTTTGCCACCTACACCAACAATTCCTACTACTAGAGTTTGTTTCTAGACAAAAGTACTCTAGAGATGATATAAGACCTGTCTCAAAACATTAGCCGGGTAGCCACACCGAACTGGCAATTTTCCTCTTGGGTTGGCCAAGGACGGGGCCATGAT